CCTCGATTTCTGTGGCCTTGAAGGAGAGCTGATACTCTGGAAAACTCAAGCACACTACTTCATTTTACACAAACGATCCAAGTTTACAGGAATTTGAGGAAGGTATTTGGTGACTGACGAGTGAAGGGCTCGTGTGTTTCAGTTTTTTCAATGACATTAAACTGTTGGAAAATACTATAAACGTCATTTACAGTCCCATACACTTGGAAAATACCTGAAAATCTCCAAAAGTCTTTTAAAGATTGCAAAAATCTCAAAAAGATTTTGGACTTGTTATCGAGACTTTCAAGTGCTCAACCCCTCGATTAAAGAGTAAATACATCGAGCTAAAGCTGGCAGTTCCCCGAAACGTAGAGATTTTTGTTTTTTACTGAAAACTGGGAGTGCATTAAAAAGAAATTCATCAGTTTGAAGTTTGGGTTGCAACAATTATTGCCTTGTCAAGTTATCTTGAACAATTTACGAAATTCAGGGTAGTAAAACCGGAGATTGATTTTTAGTATACCTGTTATATTTATAAATAATATATGGTCCATTGAAACAAACGTATCGAACAATAAATTATGTAGTAACTTCATATTTACAAAATTTTTTATTTCATTAATGTAAACCAGCTGTTATTTGTTTAAAAGCTATTATCTAGCACTTGGTGCATTTGCATGTAGCTGTTTTATTATTCTGTCACTGCCGCGAGTCACATGAGATGAGCTGCATTTTCCTGACAACATCTCAAATGAAACTTCATGGGCTTGATACTGTACCATCAAATATGAAATAATCATGTTAAACACCTGGATAGCTGCACTGTAATGTAAGCTCTTTGAAGCCATTTTAGCTTAGTTACCCTCTCCCCCCGCTATCTCTCTATTTATATTAAATCCCAATAGCTCAAAACTTTGAAGTTGTTATGCTTTGCAGTATTACTTGGGAAGTAAGAAAGTTACCTTTCTAGGGAATAAAGTGCAACTATATTTTATCATTTAACTGGGGGCTTCGCATGCCACCCGCTCTTCCATGATCAAACGTTTAAATTCTTAAACTTTTCGACATGAACAATTAGTTTTGTAAAACGAATCACTTGTATTTTTATTCTATATGGAAATTAAAAGTATTATCATTGTTACTAAACCTTATACTTTTAAATTATTGCCCTATGGACAAACCACGTGATCGGTCTAGACAAATCGAATCATCACGTAACCCAAAAATCTTTTAAGAAGAACACAACCGAAAAACAGTTTCACGCCCTCCAAAGTTTTAAGGATCCCAGATCGCTTAACATACATTTTGTTTTCACTCCTCTTGCATACGATGGGACTGTTGAAAAACACCACTTCCCGAGATTCTCATTAAAAATCGAAGCCAACCAAACACCCGGCCCTGTACCAAAACCAATGTACATTCCGTATTCCATCTCGAGGCCCCCAATCTCCCCCTGCCGAAAAAACTTTCGACTCGAAATATCCCAGGGCGAAAAAGTCAAGCCAAGCCCGGCTTTGTGTGTGCACCACCCAGAAAGACGCTCGCCCTTTCTCCCCCCCTTGCCGATCCCAAAAAGCCTTTGGGCGAAGATGAGCAGGAGTAGGAGATTCGATAAGCGCTCGGGAAAATTTACAATTTCCAGCCCCCCCCCTCCGGCATCCCTTTGCTCTCTTCACACGTGCCCCCCCCCCTCCATTTACTCGCAGACAAATTCGTGTCAGCGCCCTCTCCCATACACCTCAGCCTTTTTACACTGCACGTGATGTATATAAACGCGCCGCTGGAAATATGAATACCTCGCGCGTCCCCGGAATACAGAAATCGAGCGTGAAAACGAAAACAAATAGTCCTCCTTTTTCCCCACGAAACTCTTCCTCGATTCGTGGGTTATCCCCGTGCATATATATACATATATATATATACGTACATACGATTGCCCGCTGCTTTACGATACACACGCCAATTCGACTCGGGGAGATTGGGTTTTATTTCGGGATTGGCTACTCCCGCGTAGGTTTTGGAATTCCTTTCTTTCTTTTTTACCCCAAAATCCATTCTTGGTACACAACGAGTGAATCGTACCGTCGCACAGAGACGATCATTAACAAACGCGTTGGCGGGGGGGGGGGGATCCTTATCGTTCGGGGGTAGTCGTCGGGAGGGGAATTCAACAAGCGGACGTGACTCCTGCTCGCCCGTAAAAAAGGAGGAAGCGCCCATTAATTTCCTGTACTCTGCGCGTGTGTTTTCCAAAAAAGATCGAAGGATATAGGCTCGGATAAGTATACGTCGTGTTGTTGCATTAGATAGGAAAGTACACGGGTCTCTATCTCCGGCAATATATGTACGTTTACCGCATGATTTTATCGAGATCCACTGAGATAAAGAGTAATTTCTTTTTTTCTTTTTTTGCGACGTACAAAATGTAGATGTAACGTTGAGCGATAAATAATGGTGCTTAGCTATTCCGGTGTACCTCTCCCTCTGGGGGAGGGGTGGATATCGTGAGAGCGTGGGGGGAGGGAGGGGAGTGGGTGCCGAAGTTTCTGCTCGAAACTATATTTATATGGTAACGCAGAAGACAAAGTTTATGAAGAAGAAGAGAAAGTTTGAGTTCATCGCGTCAATTTCAGTCAGGCTGATATTTCGTGGAAAGCGAGGCCGAGGGGGAAGTTATTGATTTTCAAGTTACTGGTATTGCTCTTATTAAAGTCTTATCGGTCGTGTCGAACTTTTCTCGTCCAATCCACGTAGCTGGAAAATCTACGGAATCCTGATTGTCGTGGTGTTCGAAGCCTGTTTAATTTGCCACACGAATTTCAAACCTTTATCAACTCGATCAATCTCATGAAACTTGTCTCTTTGGATGAGACACGAAAAAAGGTTGTTTACTTAAAAGATAAAACAATGATTACGTGACACGAAATGATAAAACGTCGATACCGCCAACGCTTGACCACAATCAGTGACAGCTGCAAGTCATCGTAGCACTTGAAAATATAAATATGTTTTTTTTTACACACAATGTTTCCTACATCGTCTCTGCTCGTTATCTAAAAATCAGTTCTTGCGATAGCTTTTTCTTTTTTTTTCGCACGTCCCATGAATTGAATCCCAATTATTTTCTCAATGAAACAACAGAGACTTCCTTGGTCTCCATAATCTGTGGAACGAAGGAATAAAAGGCATCGGAGTACAATGGGGGAAATGAAAAAAGGTGGACAAATTTAAAGAAGCCATTAATATCGATAGAAAGTTTAAACGGAATATATATGACCCGGTGGTGGAAAAGCCAGAGAGGGATAAGAAAAGGGTACACCGTGGAAAGGGGAGCCAAATAGAAGACAGCTGTAAAAAAGCGGGAGAGAGAGAGAGAGGAAAAAAACGGAGGACAGGGAAAAAGAGAGGGTACGTATAGACTCGCCGGAGGTAGGTAAATAAAAGGCCATTCCAATTGGGTGATCAATTACATCGGGTCTGCATTATTCATAGTGCGCGGGAGCCGTGCGGCGAAAGCTCTGCTCCTCTTCCATTTCTTCCTGCCTCCTATCTCCCCTTCTTCCCCGAGTAAAACCGAATCCATCTCTTTGGAAATCGAAACAGAGCCAACTCTAGAGGTATACGCGTATGCAGAAATGGCTGGTCGGGGAATAAAATTAATGAACGGCGGATGGAGGCAGGAGTAAAAAAAAGGGAACGAGGTTCATGTAATTACTTGACGTTCAATATTGATTCTGTGCAGTGGAAGGTCTTGCAGTTATTGCAGGATACGCCATAAAAACGATGACGTGACTGTTGTTTCTTCTGTTGTCATTTGCCGTGCAAAAGCGTGTCTACATTTCGTACGTATTATTCGTCAAATATTGGATCACTCGTTGAATCTCGATCTAATGTTTGAAGACGCGAGGTGAAAAAGCACAGATGACCGGACAAATTGACTGGGAGGGCACACCTAAGAGACACGAGCAGTGCAAACATGCCATTGACATTTTAATTGCCCGTCCCCCATTAAACCCTTGGCCCTCCCGGTAGTATTTGCTCTCAAAATTTCCCGGCAGCAGCGTATATTTTCTCAGGAGAACCGACCAGGCAAGGTAAAAGGGAGAAGGTCCCACACATGCGCGCGTGCCTCCACTGGGAAATTGCCGGGGCACTGCTCTCCGCTCTGCATAGGAGCGTCTTTACGCTCGGCCGCTCTTCTCTTCGCGAGCTCCAAAGAGAGAGAGAGAGAGGGTTGACCTCGTCGGTAATCAAAGCGAGTCTAGTCTCTTTTCCTCTTCGGCATCGCCTCTCTCTCTCTCTCTCTCTCTCTCTCTCTCTGGGCTTCCTTTTTTTACTTTCGCCGAACACTCTTTCGCAACGACCGTTCATTACTCTCACTCGTCGCTTTTGCGAATTTTTTGCCAGTATTGCTTTTGCTTTGAATGTTACCATGGCATTTCTCGAATGGAAATGGCAAGTCTGATCGTTTTGTCTCCTTTTAACATTTTACGCTTCACAGGAGGCGCGTGTACGAGTTGACTTGACGTAGGCCTTGATAAATGAATGATGCAACAGATGCGACGATACAAAAATTAAGCGCCTAGTAAAAAGTAAATTATCATATTTCAACATTTATTCTTGCAGTTAGTCACTAAACAGGATTACGTCGAAGAAGGAATACAGCTTCTATTCAAACTGGAATTACCTTTCCTATGATTTCGACAATATCGAGTTTGCTTCTAGTACATGAGAATTTATAAACAGCTGTGAGGAACTACTCTGTAATTATTGTTGCGTTTTAACCATACCAAACTACTTGTTTTATGGTTTACAACAACAGTTTGATTGACGGTCCAATCTTATTAAAATAGCGTAGGTAATAGATTTTTTAGAAAAAGTTGCAGTCTAAAAACATGTGCCGATCTGCAGCATTTTAATTTTAGTAAATCCTCTCAGCGGAAGCTACATAAAAACTTGCTCTCGTCAGCTGCAACGCCACATGCTCCACCACTCCTTGACTTGGCTAATATAACGCGCATTAAAGAAAATATCACTAGCATTCGGGAATCACACGCTCGACTGTTCGCACGCAGCGTCGGGAATTGATTGTCATGTTCTTCGTTGTGTCTGCGTTGAGTCATTTGAAGTAATTTTCCTGGTTGGATAGAGCAAACATGGATTACCCAATATGGACAGTGGTTGTGGTAATAATCACATTTATATTTTACAAAGCCAACAGAAGAAGGTATTATTTTAAGGAAAGAGGCATACCACAGCCGTTTGAATGGCCTTTTGTTGGGATATCGGGATCTAGTATATTTAAAGGAAGACACGTCAGTCACACACTCAAGGATGTGTACAACATAAACAAAGAAGCCAAGTACGTTGGGTGTCACATGTTGACCAGCAGATGTATTGTTGTGCGTGATTTGGACTTGATAAAAAGTGTTCTTGTGAAAAATTTCGATCACTTTGCCTACCGCAAGAGTTTTGTCGACGAGAATGCGGATCCGTTGTTTGGCAAAAATATGTTCTTTATCAATGGTGACAAGTGGCGTGACGTCCGAACATTATTAAGCCCGGCTTTTACATCAAGTAAAATGCGAGGAATGTTTGGTCCCATGAACAAGTGTGCCGATAATTTTTCACGTCAGTTTTTGGATATTTACAAGGATAAAAAGGAAATCAATACCAAAGATGCTTTTACGAGATATGCCAATGACGTTATAGCTACATGTGCTTTTGGTATTGAAGTTGACAGTTTGAAAGATAGAGAAAACGAATTTTACGTCACGGGTAAGAGATGCACTGATTTTCAGAAAATGCCACTAGTGAAATTGCTTTTCATGACTGCCTTCCATAGGTTATCACAAATACTTGGTATGAGAATAATATCGAAATCTGACACTGATTACTTTGTTAAAATTATCAAATCTACTATCAGAACGAGAGAAGAAAAGGGGATTACGAGGCCAGATATGTTACAAATGATGATGGAGGCACGAGATACAAAATCGTATGAGAGTTTGCTCGACATCACTGCACAGGCTTTTACATTTTTTCTCGGTGGCTTTGAAAGCACTGCTTCTCACATGTGTCTAATAGCCAACGAGCTTGCAGCTCATCCAGACATCCAAAAACGCTTACAAGATGAAGTTGATGCTGCAATGGAGAAATGCAATGGGAAACCAACGTATGAAGTCGTAAATAACGATATGCCGTACATGGATGCCGTTTTTAGTGAGACAATGAGGTTGTATCCAGTAAGTTTTCTCGGTCGAGTAGTGTCCAAGGACTTCGAGCTGCCACCAGCTTTACCAGACTCCAAACCGTTTGTGGCAAAAGAAGGGCTGGAAGTTTTCATACCATCTTCCGCTATTCACCTAGATCCGGACTATTACGAGGATCCCGAGACATTCAATCCAGATAGATTTTTGAATAAAAAAATAACAACCTTTGATGTCACGAATTTGGGCTTCGGGATGGGTCCGAGAGTGTGTATAGGAAATCGTTTTGCTATTCTTGAAACGAAGATTTTATTTTTGCACCTTTTGACAAAGTGTAATCTGGAACTGTGCAAAAAATCACCAGTACCTTTTGAATATGATAAATTTAGTTTTGTACCAAATGCAAAAAATGGATTTTGGTTAAAAATAAGTCCCAGAAAGTAGTTTTCCTGTGATATGTCATATAAGTAATATCATCTAAGAACCTTGTATTACTTGATACTTATAGTAACAAAATTGTAAAAATAATGCGAGTTTAATGTAAGTATGTCGTTTCACTCATGATAGTTAAATTAAATGATGTGTAATTCTTATCATACTCATGTTTTTTTAACGTGATAGTAATGTATATAAAACTTGTGTTGTAATATTTTTTAGCAAAGCATCACTTAGAGAATAAATTTTATTGAATACAGAAGCTTAATCGCTTTGTTATTTAATCACGTGAAAAAACCCTTCCTCTTCTTTAATGAATTACGTAATTGGTGGCAGCCACTGTGATATAAGGTTACCTTTTAGCAAAATAATATATTTGTCAATAAACAAGCTACCTGACCATACACTAAAAAAATTTTATCGTTGTGTTAGCTCTAAATATTAGAAAATACTATCTCAACTATTTCTACTTACTTTATCTAGAAAATCAAGTGAATGCTCCAATATATTATTGCGGTGGACGAGTGTAGTATTTTTTCAGTATATTTCACAGTAATTTCACATTTATTTCGTTTTTACATTATGTAAAATATATTCATTGAATTTATTCCTTCAAACTCTTGTAGACTAACAAATTATTTATAGATTTAATAAAGTACATCTATGTAAAGCTAGACCTTATGGGGGCTCCTTCACAAAAGTCCCCAAACAGAGATATATTATTTCTTGTAAATAAAAGTCTTCTGAATTTAATGGTGGTCTAAATTATATTTCGAATGGGTCAACATTTTAAGAAATCCGAGCTCAAAGTTGTAACTATTAGCACGTGTTTCTATGGGGCAGCGTAAAAAACAATTTGTTTTCGTTTATAATAAACCTAAATTAAATGTCCCAGCAGACTGAAATTATACGTTTTGTAGATGAAGTTTTCCTCTGTAACATGCTGTATTAAAAATTAAGGATAAAGAACCATTTGAGCGAGATATTTGTGATGGAAATAAATAAATAGTGTCCGAGAGGTCAGGAGGTCACGCGGGTAGCAGACGTACTTGTTCACCTAATCGCGCGAGTTTTCAAAAAGTTGAGATTGCCTTTCCTCCATCCTCTTGAGACTCTTTCGGCGTGGTATTCTTTTTTTTTAGGTGGATTAGAAGGACCGTCATCCATTGTTTATCAATTAAATGATGTCAATGGTATACAGATACAAACACTATAGAGGTAGAGTAATAGCAGAAAGGCATGCAAACACGATATATACATATCATATACCTATATATTACATCGCTATACTACACCAACACAGGTGGTGTACCACTGTACCCTCGAATGCAGTATGCACTAGACTGGTCAAAACAATAATTAATTTTTCGTACAAAGTTAAACTATACACATAAATATCGTTTTTCCCACTTCATACGTTATTAAAAATATCATAATGATTTTCAGACACATTTGTTTATTGAAAAACAAAACTTTATTTTTTGTTTGTCTTTGACCTCAGCAGTAGTCGTAGGAGCCCCCTTAAATGAGCTGATGTGTCGCACAAGTTTCAACGCGATGCTTTTGTAGATATAGGCTTTAACCTTGCACACCTCTCGCTCATCTTTTGCAAAAGATCTAAAAATTCAGGGCTGCTTATACCGAACGATCGACCGCCATGCGCGTTATCAACTCAACGAAGAAAAAAATTTTGTTATTTAGACTGTGTTATTCAGAAATATGTTATATAAAGATTGTAAGGTTAGAGTGGCAACATTACGAAAACAATTTTAATCTGCGAGTATAGGTAATCAACGCCACCAACCATACAGTTTTGAAATTAAATTTTTTTCTGGCGTGGTATACTAATAAATTACATCAGAATATTATTATCAGTAATACTACTTTATTCATAACATTTAACTGCAGCCAATATATCGGTCATACGCGATTAAAATGCTTGTATTTGCAGCTCAACGATTCGCACGTCACGACGCAGCTTCAGTACTATAGTGTAGTGTCATTGAAACAAGTTAATTTACAAAATAAAATAAGTATGTTTTACTTTATATGGACCTTTTTAATAGTGACAGTGACATTTATATTGTATAATGTAAACAAAATAAGGTATCATTTCAAAAAAAGAGGTATACCACAACCATTCGAATGGCCGTTTACTGGTATTTCTGTGGTCGATATTTTAAAAAAAAGACATATGAGTTATTTACTAAAAGATTTGTACAACATGAATAAAGATGCTAAATATGTCGGTTGCCACATATTATTAAAAGAAGTTATTGTTGTGCGTGATTTGGACTTGATAAAAAGTGTTCTCGTGAGAAATTTTGATTCCTTTGCTTATCGCAAAAAAGCTTTCGACAGAAATGCCGATCCATTGTTTGGCCAAAGTTTAGCTTTTATTAACGGACCAAAGTGGCGCGAGGTGCGTGCATTATTGAGCCCCGCTTTTACATCAAGTAAAATGCGAGGAATGTTTGGTCCCATTGACATGTGTGCCGATAATTTTTCACGTCAGTTTCTGGATCTTTACAGGGATAAAGAGGAAATCGATACCAAAGATGCTTTCGCGAGATATGCCAATGACGTTATAGCTACGTGTGCTTTTGGTGTTGAAGTTGACAGTTTGAAAGATAGAGAAAACGAGTTTTACGTCACGGGTAGGAGATGCACTGATTTCAAGAACATTCCACTAGCTAATCTTGTCCTTATTAAAAACTTTCCAAGTCTCTCAAAAAAACTTGGCATGAGACTTATATCAAAGTCGGACACAGATTATTTTATTAAAGTTATTACATCGACAATTAGAACAAGAGAAGAAAAAGGTATTACTAGGCCAGATATGTTACAGATAATGATGGAGGCACGAGATACAAAATCGTATGAGAGTTTGCTCGACATCACAGCACAGGCATTTATATTTTTTATCGGTGGATTAGAAAGCACTGCTTCTCACATGTGTCTAATAGCCAACGAGCTTGCAGCTCATCCAGACATTCAAAAACGCTTACAAGATGAAGTTGATGCTGCAATGGAGAAATGCAATGGGAAACCAACGTATGAAGTCGTAAATAACGATATGCCTTACATGGATGCCGTTTTTAGTGAGACAATGAGGTTGTATCCAGTAAGTCCCATCCGACGTCTAGTGTCTGAGGATTTTGAGTTTCCACCGGCCTTGCCAGGCTGTAAACCTTACGTTGCAAAGAAAGGAATTGAAATTATCATACCAAGTTGTGCTATATTGAAGGATCCAAATTACTACGAGGATCCCGAGACATTCAATCCAGATAGATTTTTGAATAAAAAATCAATAACCTTTGATATCAAAAATTTGGGATTTGGAATTGGTCCGAGAAATTGTATAGGGAATCGATTTGCCATACTTGAAACGAAGATTTTGTTTTTGCATCTTTTAACAAAGTGTAATCTGGAACTGTGCAAAAAGTCACCAGTACCTTTTGAACACGACAAATATAGTTTTGTGCCAAATGCAAAAAATGGATTTTGGTTAAAAATGAGTCGTAGGCAGTGACTTTTTATTAGTTGTCTTAAATGTATTTGGATACTCGATACGATTTATCACATTTTGCAGTTGAATTCTTTTCTTTATAAAGTTATTCTATTATTTTAATGAAAGAATGTTTTATATTGTATCATTGACTCATGTAAATAATTAGTTATACTTTTAGCACATTATGAGTTCAGTAAAGCGTACCTTTACGATAATTCTTCTATTACTCAGAACTCAGTGTTAATTGTTAATGTCATCAGATATCGAGCATCGCGTTATTATTGCATAACATCGCATTTTATTGCATTATGTTTCATTATATGTTTTAATTAACAAAGGATAATGGCACAGCCCAAAATTTTTAATCTGAAGACTTGTTGAAAAAAATTTTATCCAGAACTATATAATCACATTGCTGACATTTAGTATTTCAGAACATTTATTTCACAGCAAATGTCAAGTTTTTGTGGGTGACTGTACAGTTGGAGTTAATCAGTGCGTCACATACTTAACAAAGTATCAGCGTATATGTAGGCACACCCACTGAGACGAGCGAGATAGATTATGCAACTGCGTCGCTCTCTGATACTTACGATTTACACTGGCACGTACCCGAGAATTTGACCGATCGTAATATCATTTGGCTGCATGTGAAACTCGTTTACATTCAGAAAATGACATGCATATTTATAATTTGTACATGGAGTTATGCTATAAGCCACAGCTGTGACTTCACTTCACATCTTTTATATATCTGAACTAATATGTTGAATATTTCTGCCAGTAATCTGTTATATGATAATTAGCTGTTGTTATAAATTTGAGAAGAGTTCTTTAAAAAAAAATTTTTTGTTTAGTACTTTACTTTTTAACACATGTATGTTTGGACTCTGTTCATCAATGGTATTATTACCAGTACTGAGATACTAACCATCCTCTAGTTTTGGTTATCTAACAATCACACAGAATAAAAAAGCTAGCATTCACGAGTTTACGACTCAGTAGCTTACGCGTTGTGTTTTCTATACCACGTTTCACATAACATCATATATGTGAATTATAACGGCATTAAGAGTTAGTTACTTAATTGGCAAAAAATAAATATGGACTACTTTGTATGGGCATCTGTAGTAGTGATAATTATGCTTGTTTTTTACAAAGCCAACAGAAAAAGATATTATTTCAAAGAAAGAGGCATACCGCAACCATTTGAATGGCCGTTTATTGGGATATCAGCATCCGATGTGTTTAAAAAAAGACATATCAGTTACTTGTTAAAGGATGTATACAATATAAACAAAGAAGCCAAGTATATCGGGTGTCACATGATTACTACCAAAGTTATCATTGTACGTGATTTAGACTTGGTAAAAGATATTCTTGTAAAAAATTTCGACTATTTTTGTGATCGAAAAAAGTACTTCGACAACAATGTCGACCCATTACTTGGACAAAGTTTGGCCTTTATAAATGGTGACAAGTGGCGTGAAGTGCGTGCATTGTTGACTCCCGCATTTACATCAAGTAAAATTCGAGGAATGATTGTCCATATTAACAAGTGTGCCGATAATTTTTCACGTCAGTTTGTAGATCTTTACAGGGATAAAGAGGAAATCGATACCAAAGATGCTTTCGCGAGATATGCCAATGACGTTGTAGCTACATGTGCTTTTGGTGTTGAAGTTGACAGTTTGAAAGATAGACAAAACGAGTTTTACGTCACGGGTAGGAGATGCACTGATTTCAAGAACATTCCATTAGCTAATCTTGTCCTTATTAAAAACTTTCCAAGTCTCTCACAAAAAACTTGGCATGAGACTTATATCAAAGTCGGACACAGATTATTTTATTAAAGTTATTACATCGACAATTAGAACAAGAGAAGAAAAAGGTATCACTAGGCCAGATATGTTACAAATGATGATGGAGACACAAGACACAAAATCTCACAAGAGTTTGATAGATATAACGGCTCAGGTTTTTCTTTTTTTCCTTGGTGGCTTAGAGAACAGTGCTTCTCAAATGTGTCTAATAGCCAACGAGCTTGCAGCTCATCCAGACATCCAAAAACGCTTACAAGATGAAGTTGATGCGGTAATGGAGAAATGCAATGGGAAACCAACGTACGAAGCTGTAAGTAATGAAATGCCGTACATGGACGCTATCTTTAATGAAATTTTGAGGTTATATCCAGTAAGTCTCATTCGACGAATTGTGGTGAAAGATTTTGAGTTTCCACCGGCTTTGCCGGGCTGTAAATCTTTTGTTGTAAAAAAAGGCGATGGCATTATCATACCAAGTTGTGCCATACAAGTTGATCCAAATTACTACGAGGATCCCGAGACATTTAATCCCAACAGATTTTTGAACAAAAAAATCACAGTTACTGATGTCAAAAATTTGGGTTTTGGAATGGGTCCGAGAACGTGTATAGCATACCGTTTTGCGATTTTGGAAATAAAAGTTTTGTTTTTACATCTTTTAACAAAGTGTAATCTGGAACTGTGCAAAAAATCACCAGTACCTTTTGAGTACAGTAGATATAGTTTTGTTCCGAATGCGAAAAATGGTTTTTGGTTAAAAATAAGTCGCCGAAGGTAATTTTCTGTAATATGTCATTGTAATAACATTATTAAGGACTTGATGTGTTTGTCGTTTTTCATCGATTGAAAGCAATTCATACTTTTTTTGTAACATGTTGAAATTTATCTTCCAGAGAAAAAAATACAACTGTGTGTATGTAACATTGATGAAAGCAACGAAAAAAAATTTTTATCATGTTAGAGATTACTGTATTTAGTAAGTCTTTTATGAATGTAATCATCGTGTGATAGTTATTAGTTGTAAAATATTCATTATGTTATTTTTTCTGTGAACATACATATAATATTATAATAATTTTTCTGTTTTTACGGAATAATTATGTGTTATAAGAAAAATAAAATCTCTTAAACTTTCTATATCATATGTGTCAGTTAGGAGTTTTTATCATACTTCCCATGTGCCTTGATAACATACGTTATTCACTTGCTGCTACAAGGTCGGATGCTCTAATTTTATAAAGGTAACTCTCGTACTCAAAATTTTTGCCTCTTTTCGTCTCTCTCTCTCTCTCTCTCTCTCTTCCTCTCTTTCTCTCTCGCTCTACTGTGTACATCACTACTGGTATTTTATCATGCAAATAATAATTATCATGTAAATAATTTACTTATAGCTATGTATTAACAATTTAACTTACTATTATAAAATTTCTCAACTTGTGTGACCCTATGAAGTTAAGCCTTATGTCACTATAATAAAGTAATTCATCAATCTGTCTCCGAATCTCTCTCCCTCTCTCCTCTTTTTTAGCTGTTTTTTAGTAGTCAATTCTTTAAAAAGTAGATTGAGATATCACAACAAAATAAGCAAAAAGAAAATAATATTATTTGATGTATGATTATTATCTTCATTTATCTTAAATAACAAAAAACTTTTGTCATAAACAATCTGACGAGAATAAAGCTCTGTTGACAATGAGTTATAACTGATTATATTATTTGATGGTAATTCAAACAATCAGACCCCAGACTTGCATTTATTCACGTAAATCATTGTCAACTAGTAGATCATCATCCTGTGTTTGATCATTGAAAAACTTGAAGTAGCCGGATTAAGTGGCTTAATTAGCAGATAATAATAGTTTTCAATAAAGCTTTATTCAGTCTTACCGATGTCGTATAAATTTTTTTACGAATTCCAACAAATGCGTGTATTTCTAAAATGAACAATTTCGTAAGATAATAATTGCTTAATGATTTTGGATTTCATTTTGGAGCATAAATTGCATCATGATAAAAAATTTAAATATAAATCGTTACAACAGCTTTTAAGCTTCCTGGGCCTCGATCTTCTTTTTCTTTTTTGCTCATTTTAACATTTAAAATACTGCATTTAAGTGATTAAATGAAATAAATAAAATTACGAATGGATAAAAACATGACGTGAAACATTTTTCTTGTAAATACAGTGAACTAGAGTTATTAAAATAGAATTATCTAGTGACCGATAGAAGGAAGACTTTTATAAAGTCCCTGTTACTCGAGCATATATATTTATACATCTACTAACAATTGTATGACAAGTGTATGGTTGGAAGTACTTTGAAATAAAAAAAATTTCTTTCGATACATTTTTGACTCCAAGACTTTGATCTTCTGCAGGCTTCTAGTGGTAGCATAGTTTTTTAGTTTTCAACAGATTCTAAACATGTTTAAGTTTTCTTTGCGTACCGAATTGACTTAATAATAATATTTGTACTTATTTAAGCAGAACATGATCTTGAAAACCTTTGAACCACACAACTCTTGAGCTAAGAATTATAAAAGAGATGTAAAGTGTAGGTTTCGTATATTTAGCGAATTTTCAGCTTTTTTTAGCTTTAAAACAACAAAGTATATAAAAAAAGTATTATTTTATCTTTACTAGAGTTGCAGAAATTAAAAAGTATGGGTTGATCTCGAAATTTTGTTTTTAATTAGTGTTATGCTTCTTCTATAAATTAGAAAGAAGTTATGTTAGTCACATCTGACTTCGAGATATTTTTTTTATTTTTATTTATACTTCTTAAAGCCAAGAATATTGCTTTGAACTTTGGAAAATTTCCAATTGTTAAATCGAATCGCTCATACATGTCTTCAGTGGATTAAATATAAAGGCACCTGATAAGTTCAAGTCAACAGGCCATAAGATTACACATCATTGCTCTGCACATTGTACTTCACGCAGTATTCGTACAACTTTAGTCTCTCGATGCATAGCGATACTTTGGTAACATTTGAAACACTGCACAATTAGTACATAATCAAGTTCACGATTGAATAAAAAAAGTAATTACAGTTTAGAAATTCTGGTTGTTATGGCTTTCTGGATTTGGTTAATTTTTTTAAGTGTAATCTACGTTGTGTGGAAAAATGTTAAAATGAGATGGTACTTCATCAAACACGGAGTGCCTGCATATCCTAAATTACCGTCCATCGGTATTTTTGGTGTTAATTTAATAAAGCGTTGTCATGCCAATATCATAATAAAGGATTTGTATGCTGCGAATAAAAAAGCAAAATACGTTGTTTCCTACTTTTTTGTCAGCCATGCAATTGTCGTACGTGATCTCGACTTGATAAAATCCGTGTTCATTAAAAACTTTGACCATTTCGCTCATCGTAGAACTTTTGTCGAAGAGGCAACCGATCCACTAACTGGTAAGAACTTGGCTTTTTTAAATGGCGATAAATGGAGAGATGTGCGTAGTTTATTGAGTCCAGCGTTTACGTCAAGTAAAATCCGGACGATGCACGGGTTGATATCTGAATGTGCTGAAAGTTTTGCGGAAACGTTTATCAAACTGTTTGCCAATGTTGATGCTATTGACATTAAAGATGTTTTTGGTCGATTTACAACAGATATAATAGCTACCTGTGCTTTTGGTATTGAGGTTAACAGTTTGGACAATCCAAACGATAAGTTTTACGTCACGGGAAGAGAGTGCTCATTTTCTAATAGAAAAATTCTGCTCAGATTCTTGTTACCTGCCATGTTCCCAAAACTGGCAGCCAAGTTAGGTACTAGGATCATCCCTAAAGAAGAAACTGATTTCTTTATTAGTATTATCAAAACAACGATAAAGACAAGACAAGAGAAGGGTATCACTCGACCTGACATGTTGCAGCTTCTTATTGATGCTAAAAGTAAAGTTGGGGAGGTTTCTAGTGAAGATTTGATAGAAATCACAGCTCAAGTCTTTGTTTTCATCCTCGGTGGCTTCGACACCACATCTGATTTCATGTGCTTGATGGCACACGAACTAGCTGTCAATCCCGATGCTCAGCAAAAACTTCAGTCAGAAATAGATAAAGTCATGCGGGAATGTGATGGTAAGCCTACGTACGAAGCCATTGGTAATATGAACTATTTGGATGCTGTTTTCTACGAAACTATGAGAATGCATCCTATCGCTTACGTGTCGAGAATGTGTTCTAAGGACTTTGAGTTTCCACCAGCGTTACCTGGAGGAAAACCAATCACAATTAAATCAGGAACAGAAGTTTTTGCAGCTGTTGCAGCTATCCATAGAGACCCAGTTTATTATGAAAATCCAGATAAATTCGATCCTGATAGATTTTTGAACAAGAAGATTAGTGATGATGTGTTCAATTTGGGCTTTGGTTTAGGCCCAAGAATGTGCATAGGTAGGCGTTTCGCCATACATGAGATTAAGACTTTGTTTACTCAGTTACTGTCCAAGTGTAGCCTTGAACCATGTAAAAAAACTTGTATACCATTTGAACACGATTCCAGTCAATTTGCGGTGTATCCAAAGGGTGGATTTTGGTTGAAGATGAAATCCTAAACAACCCTTTAAATCCTTTCGAACTATTGGAGTAGCTACGCTGTTAAAATGTTTTATGGTTTTTGCCTCTCACTCTATAATTTATTAATTATCAGGCACTCAATGCACAACAAACATATAAGTATGTATTAAATTGTAATAAGATATAAATTTAATCATTGTTTTTTATAAGAGACTTTTTTACGGAATGCATCAGTTCATCAAGTAGATAAGGTTTTCCAAAATAAGGAAAAAAAGTGAGATTCTAGATTTTTATCAGTGATAAAAGGTATGACTTGATGAATTTAATATTAAGACTAATTAATTCTTCCAAGTACGGAAAAAAATTTGTTAACTTCAGGTGCTTGGTTGATATAATCAAACAAAATTGTTTACCGTCACAACTATTTCAGTAGATGGAATAATGGTTTTGTTTTTATAAAACATGCGATTTGTGTAACGATTCAACTCATATAACGCTTGTTGTAATTAGAAGATATAGTATGTAACTTTATGTTCTTAAGGTGATTGTAATAAATTGTTTTAATAACTAATTTACTTGACTTTCTAATTAGTTAATCTATCCAACACTAATTTATTTAAGCTGTAGTACAGTATAAACTTAAATCGATATTACAGAATTTTTAAGAAATCATGAACGTTCTTGCTGTAATACTTGTCATGGAATTGACATCAAGGTTTTTTTTCCATTTTGAAAGAATAGTATTTCTTATATTGTTTCTACATGTAACGATAATTTTTATTGGCTCACGTTTATTTCATCTTTTTATAATTAAATACAGATTGCCTTCATGAGAGTTGTTTAGCATGTCTACAATTACTGACTTTATCCGTGACACGCCCTATTGTTTCTTCTTTTTTACTACGTATTCAGTGCTATACACACATAAATACATCATAAACTAGATGTCGTAACATTGACATTAACCTTTTATATACCAAGAGTGGTGACATGGCTGTGATTTTAAGATAAAATTGTAAAATTTTGAAACATTGTCATATCGTCCGATTGAAAGTTGACGATACTCATTTGAAGAAATGCGTTTGGAGGATTGTAAAATTGACATAATTGTCCATTATTTTGAAAGATTATAAGAAAAATTTCTAAAAATTAAAAAACTTTTGTCCTGTCCAAGCAGTTCTCAATCTTTTGTTCGTGTACTACCTAGTTGGACTTTGCAGGAAGGGTTCCCAGCCCGAGTGAAAAATTTTTCCAATACAATAACCCACTTCCATCATCTCTCGAAAGCATAAAGCGCAAAAACTCACTTATGACTCCTTATCTATCTCCTTCTTATCTCCCTGGAGTGTTGTCGTCCGTGTTTCCGCGCATTTTACCCAGCCCCGTTACTTTGTAAACTCAATTTTTGCTCGCCCGCGAACTCGTCATCAAACATTTTTTTATCGGATCAGCGAGACCTTGCGCGTGTCCCGCACAGCCGAGTCTTAACAACTTTTAACTGATCGTGACAGCGTCAAAACTCATCGAGCTCAGAGGAAAGTCGGCACGATCGATCATCTGTACTGGTCCGTAAAAACCACGATGATGATGATCAATCGAGGATTTATAATTTATCGAGGGAATCGGTCTACTACAACTCGATAATTAAAGTGAGCATTTGAAACGTTTTAATCCCAAGTGCAAAAGCTCAGTGTGTGAGACGATAAAATCATGCGATTTCGAGACCCCTTCTTTAAAATTATTGTTAAAATGACAGATAAAAAACTTAAAAATTTTGCGATTTCGCTGAAATTAAAAATTACTTTTAAGATACTTCATATAATGAGTATAAACTATGAATGAAAATAAAATTCTGAAGTTCACTATGGGTTCCTAGCTACTGTTAATAGTAAATAGATGAATGAAAGTTTTTTGGGCTATTTTAATGAAATATTTAATTTGGTGTTACACTACAGCCTATTGTAGTTATTAATTGACGTGATGAAATTTCTTAGACACCTTGGAAAAACGCATTTCTCATTGAAACGTTGCAAAATCGCGTCGAACCACCAGGTCCCTTTGCAAAATCCCACTCACGCGCACCATGAGCGAAAATCAAAGCACAACCCTCGCCAAAGTTATACGCACCAACATGTTGGGCTGGCGAGAGAAATAATGCGATTATTCGGGAAGGGAATCTCCGAGGCCCGGGTAATTGGCGTCCTTCCATGGCGCACTTTAACCGGAGCGCCAATTTACTCCCCGACGCAAGGCTAATGACCTGCTGGTCGTGCTCGTGGTCTGCGAACTCGGGAAATTCGATAACGCGACGAGCTTCATCTTCGACCGGACGATCCATCGGGTGATAGGTTTTTATTTGGAAATTGGCTATTTCCCCGCGGTCTCGCTCCCAGAGGACTTTGATGGTCCTTTTTGTCATGATTAATGCACCCATCATTTTTATTTTTTTATTTTGTACAAACCGATGATGCTCCACCAATTACAATGAACTGCAAAAAAATGCACATTTACTTTCTCAATGGTTTTTAACGAAAAATGGTACACGAACGATCGACGCATCAGCCTCGCAGCCGCAATGCACTATTATCTTAATGCAACGCAAACAAAGCGCCAGAGTATGTATAGTTTCAGGTGCATTCATTATGCAAACATAATAGAGATATCTAGCGCGATGTGTTTGCGTTTCATCTTAATTATCAGTGACATCACTGGCCAGACTATTGCTGACATAGACCACACCTCTGCAAGATAAATGCACGTTTTTTCGCGATGCAAAGTGGCGTTCTTGAGTTGTTTCAATGTCCATACATACATATGTATTATCAATGAACCAACCAACTCTTCTCGTATACTTTGATAATAGTTAATGAGTCCATGTATTCCATAATAAAAGTATACTTATTAGCTACTTCAGCTTTTCTCAGATTTGTAAAGATGTGAAGTATCAAAAGATGCTTGGGTTCATCAAAAAATAAAAAATTATAAGCTAAAAGGGCCGGTGTCTTTATCAATAAAAGTATGTACCTAACATTGATTTCTTGATGCCTTGAAAATACGGGTATAAATTTTCATGTTCAACAGAGCATACATCACTAAAAGCTGTATGAAGTTCTCTTTTTTGTTGTTGCTTTTTTTTTTTTTTTTTTCTTATTGTTGAACTATGCATAATCCACGTTTTCATCCAAATGAGGTCAAACATGTGAAAAACTCGAATTTTAACATTTTTTCCGAAAAATAACTCTGCTGGAAGTTTCATCGCAATTAAATAATAATATTGCGGTTGTTCGTGCCAGAGTATCGACACGTTAACATAACAACCACCAAGACGGACGTCAATTTTTCCTTTATCTACTGCTTTCTCCGTCCGTCTCCGTTTTCCCGGTGACTGCAACATCACGTACGCGAGATGTACATATGGCCGCGCACGCGAATTTTTACACACTCGTATTACGCGTAATACCTAGAGAGCGAGTGTCACGAGTGTCGCTACGGAGTTTTCGAGCGGATTATAGTAGAGACGCGTGACGTCGGAGGGACGGGTAATTCTTTGTTTTTTTTTTTTTTTTTTTTTTTTCCAAGTCCTTTTAGGGTGATTGTTTATAATCGGCCATTGGTATATGTTTGGCGATACATGTGGGAATATATGTATAAATATATTTTTTTTTTTCTTTCATTTTGCTAAAAGCAGCGATACACTTTGAGATTAACATATAGACGCAAAGCCTAATAGCCGCTTACGCGCGCCCACTTATTCCCGAGACTCAGCTTCATAAGTATTCCGGTCGAGGAGTTGGTAGGAGCGTTTTAGAGGCACCATCGAGCGAATCACGACTTCGGACTTCCTTTTTCGTTGCGAGGCTTATCTCGTATTATATTTTGGGGCCGTACGATTGTTTGCTGCTGAGCGGCTTTTTGTTTATTTTATCATCTCAACTCTATGTTTTTTTTTAATATTTAAGTAATCCATCAAATCTCCCTTTTTCTTTCATAACGTTACTGCAAAATTTTGTTTTTACTCCAATCGTACTTATCATTTTTTTTTTATGTTATGACTTACCTCTACCGCATTTTTTTGTCTTGTTTAAATTGATTGTATCTTTTTTTTTTTTCACACGAGTTTTAATTAATTGTGACTGGTTTTAAAGGCACCGTTAATTTTTATTTCCTTTTAACTTACACAGCGAATATTTTAATCAAACAAAAAGCGTAAAAGTCGAAAAACAAATGCAACACAGGAGCATTTGCGTTTGACCATCAGCCTGATTGTCGTGCTTTCCCATCACGTTGAAAGTAAAAAAAAAAAAAAATGTCGATCTCGCGAAACGATGTAAGATGCCACTTTAATTTAGTATTAACTAGAATAAATTCGCGATGGAAAGAGAAGATCGAAACGCGATCGCAAACAGCAACCGTAAAATAAGAAACTCATCCATCAATAGACCCCAAGTGATGGTGGAAAAAAAAAAAACCTATCGCTGTACAAGATGTCAAAAAACGCACTCCTCCTCCCCTATACCTAGGGGACAAAGGAACTTGCGCCACCAAATCTCTCAGTCGACATCGTAATAAACAAACGCGCGCCTCATCTCTCATTCAATATCCAAAGAGCTTCCTCCTCTCTCGCTTGGGGCGAATTTTTGCTTCCTCTTCCCGACGTCCTCGCTGGTAACTCTCTCTGGTAAATGCACTGGTGTATGTATAGTCAGACGATTCTATTTCATAAAGGCACAACCACGCACGGGCACGTATATATACATATATATTCACAGGTGAATGCCGGGCTCTCCTCTCCATTAAATACAGTTCGGCATCTCTCCTGTCTATACGCACACGCTCGGTTCTCGAGGCTGCGCCTCTTAGATACACGTACGCTTAAGTAATTTAATTAGAGCGACTAGCTCGAGCTCCGAGACGTGACTCTTGCTCCTTTATCCCCCTCCCGGCCCCGTGCCCTTCATGTCCTTTCGTTAGCTGGATTCTCTCTATTTCGATAAAAGGAGGCGCGCTCTCTCTCTCTCTCTCTCTGGTTCTTTGTGCGGTCGGATGAGCGAGACTGCGGGGAGCGTCGGAGTGAGGTGAAAAGAGATTATTTTCCTAACGCGGTTCCGAGGTGGCAATTACGTGAAATGTTGCTGCTGATCTTCGAAAAATCGACGGTGCTTGGATCGACTGATTTACTAATGCGTGCTGTGGAACTCTATAGCGACACAAAGTTTGAGCACTACGGCTCTTATGTGGATGCGTACAATTTTTGGTTTATCGATCCGACTCTTTCAATAACGCGTTGAGTCATTGGAATTCGT